TGTTTTGGTGGAATGCAAGTTGACGCAGGCGCAGGTGGCCACCAAAAGCGGTCAACAAAGCATGAGTTGACGTCTCAACATTTAGGATTCAAGTGTCGTGCAAGGCGTCGAGGCACCTCTGCATAGCGGGTGTTGATTGAATTCCTGTTCTTCAAAGGAGCTCATGTAATTAGTTCTTTCGTGTTGGGTCATTGGCACTGGGCATAATAACAATTGACATTGGATAGCGCCTCCTATTCACCGTGAGCCCATGAGCCGAAATCAGATTGGATCCAAAGGTCGCTCGGACAGGTTGCTTTTGATCTTGGAACCAGGGTGGTGATGTTTTTGTCGTGCCTTTGGCCACGTCAGGTGGATGGATGGAGGAGGATGCCATGAGGTTCCAGCAAGGCCAACCGGTGATATGTCCGGCCACGATGTTTTTGTGCTTTTGGATCACATTGAATGCTCATCTGGTCACCTGGGTATGTTGCTGGGGTGCGTGTGCTCGCCTTGCAATGTGTTCCTTTTGCACCTCTTGAAGATTTTCTCACTTTCTTGGGTTTCAGTGATTTGAGTGATTTGATTTAAGAACAAGCGTTTAGATATTGAAATTTTAGTGGCAGTGACAGGTCTAGGAGTCTAGTTCAACTATAGACGGATGATTCGGGTTGAGTTGCGATTATTTAACACTCAAGTTGTTCTTAGGCGTTGCAATAGCCCATAGGAACCGCAACAATCACAAGAGCTGTGTCCATAGACCTGATGTGATGCTTGGAATAGATACTCCGTGAGTGCGATTCCTTTGTGATAACACTAGCAATAGATAATTTGTGTGTTTTTGAACAAACAATGAATCTTATCATATCCTCATTTTTTGGGGCAGAAGTGGCTCAACGGGTGCCAACAAGGGAATTTCAGCATGGGTGTTTCTTTGTGAATAACATGATTCAAAAGATGTTGCAGAGCCCAGAACCTCCCATGAGAGTTGCCTCTTTTTGTGCATGTGCGTGTACATGTGAGACGTTGAGAGAGAGAATCAGCAGCGAGGCGTTTGCGAAGACATGGGGCATTGCTGGAGCACGGTAGAGCAGTCTACATACACATGTATGGACACATGATGAAATCAATTCAGCTTGAAGCATGTTGCAAGGCGAGAGGGAAAGGAGGATACATGCAACATGCATGCAAGTATATGCACCAGAGAACACCTGGGACGCACATATACAAATAGTTCAACATCAGTGACCAACCATGGAACTCGTGCTTTTCAGGGCCTGGCCGGCATGCCCGCAGCCGGATACTCTGTTTGCAACTTTGAGGCCCTCAAGTTGTTTCTATCCCGGTGCCAGGCATGATGTGAGAATCGTCCAGTACCAGCAAGTGCGCATCTGCAGGCAGGGGCCTGCAGGGTTGCAGGAGCAGGGGCAAGCTGACTTTTGTTGCAACAACGAACTTGTATCAGGATTGGTATCCCAGGGATCCTTGAGAAATCCTCTTATTTGGAAGAACCAATCATGGAAAACCTCCCACTTGGCTCAGAAAAGCCAGTCTGGGCGATCTTCTGAACAGGTTTTCCCAGCGTTCTTAAATGCCGATTGCTGTAGAGCAGTTGTGAATCCTAGCCTAAACCAAGGCCGTTTCGAGCCCCAAAAGTAAAACAGTGAATAGAAACTGTATTGTAAATTGTTTAGATACAGTATATGTTTTCATGTGCGGATGCTGCATGTTGGTTGCACTTGGTTCCCACAAAGCTTTGGCTTTGCCAGGGATGTTTGCTCATGAAGGCATGTCAGCCTACAGCAGTCATTGAAACGACTGGTGCTTAATAGTATAGTACTTGATTCCAAGTGATAGGGTGTCTACTACATATTCCTTTGCAGGGGATTCAATTGTCACCCATTGGTGGTTCTACTTGTCCTTGACCTCCCATGGAATGGAGACGCCATCAGTGGACACATCAATCCAAACCATGGGGCCTCCAATCACACAACGCAAACGACTATCAATGGAAGTATACAAGTTTAAGAAAAAAAGAACACTACCCTCAACGGAAGGTGACAAATCGGGGTCCAAATTCTTTTTGGGTTCTGAACAGTGTTGTTCTTCTTTGACACTGTACCCCACGGTGGCCTGAACATCTTGTTAACCTTCGCAGGTTATCCTCCTTTGTGGCCGAAGTTGGGGCGAATCCAAAAAAGGTCAGAAAGACCTCACCGTTTACAAAGGCACAATGGAAGGAGTTGTGTCGACAAAAGGAAGTAACCTTGAAGGAATGAATTCAGGATAATGAACTTGTTTTACATTGTTTTACCTCCATGATCTTCCATGAGACTTTTGCTAAGATAAAGGTAAAACACGTCTCCTCAGTGTCCCACGATGGAGGGAGCTGCTTGCAAATCACGAACTCAGGAGGCGAGCTCAGGGAACCTCTTACAAATCTTGTGAAGTCAGGTGTTGATCATTGACAAGCGTGATGCTTGTGTTTAGTCATCCAACCTTCGAAGGCTGTTTGACCCTCCCCCACACCAAACTTAACAAAAAATCCAAGCACCTTCTCTGAAGGCCCCATGTTGATCTATCCGTTCCCCCCCCCACACCCTATGTCAAGCTCGGATCATAGCACCTAACTGCAACTAGAACTTCCATGGAACACCCAACATGTTGATCCTTGAAATCGGAAGTGGAAAGCCTGATTGGTATTCGGAACATATTCATCCCTTCAGAGCCATGATCATGAGCCGAGCCATGTTCATCCACTTCCGGGAGCGTATGACCGTTAGAATGCTTGACCGTGACCGCCGGGGGAGGTCGGTCAAACCACCCACCGAACACGATGGTAAAAGATAAAAGGGCCTGTTGTGGAGTGGCGTTTTTCTGGGGCACCTGTGGAAGCTTCACCAGCATTTCCGAGCAAAGAGCAGGCCCTTTGGGGACGAAAGGGCTGCTGCACCACCCAAAATAATTCGATGGAAGTTTCGAAGTGGATAGACAGATTGTGACCCAGATACATTCCCATGGAAGAACCATGGGCCAACATGGATGGCAATCAGAATAGCAAATAGGCGGTGAACTCCACTTCCAAGATTATTTCGAATGTATGTCTCGCAATTGAGCCAAGTGTCGATGAACAGTGGACAGGAGATGTTCTACAAAATGGCACATCATGGCACTTGCATCAACTAACGATCAAAACATCAGGATCCCATCACTATGGCCAGTGTTTGATCACGAATTGTTTGCGTCATGCCTCCCTTCCGGCCACCAGGTGAAATGCAGCCTGCCAATGGTCGTGCGAAAACAACAACTGCTCCACGGGGGAAGATCGTGAAGTTGCGGGTTGTTCTACACAAGTGACTGAGGTGAAGCCGCCAGTATTGCTGTATTTAGTTGAACGACACAGCTCTTCGTGACGGTCATGTGTTGTTCCACAATGACAGCCGCCACCCAAGTCTCACGAGAATATTGGAAGAAGATGTGAGACGTGTTACGTGAGGTTTTCCCATGTTCGGGTTTGATCCATCCCGATCCTGAGGAGCCAATCTTGTAGATCTAGACTGCTAGAGAATTTCCTATATGGGCCCTGGATTCCAACCTTAGGGAGTGGAGCTGTAGAAGGGGCTGCTCTTCTTTTGCTTGATGGTAAATCTGGGAGCCTTTGAGCCTTTCTAGAAGGCCTGGAAAGATGCAGACAGGAGAGATCTTCATGCGTTCGGCCCCTTCTAAACCCAGCAGAACGGTACCGGTGGTTCTGTGCCACATACTGAGCGGTGGCAGAACCGTATACTGCAGGTCTTGTGCAGCTTTGGGAATCGCATCCAAAATCCTTTTGTTTGTTCCTGTATACACCGTGTGTTCGGTGTGTTGACTGGCACGAGGTTCTTGGATCCCGCCCACAAACTCGTGGTGTGTTTTCTCGAGATGCATTTTCTGCCTACTGGATGACCTTCCTGCCCTACCAAAAGCTTCCACCCGAAGGAGAGCACACTCAGTCACAACCCCAGTCACAACCGGGATGTTAGAACAGGAGCACAATCTTTCATGGGGGGAGATTGGTTGTGGGAATCCCATCATGTCACATTGTCACATGAAAGAGTTTCATCATGTTGATTTTTCATGGATTTTCTGATGGATTGCATCATGTGTCATCATGAACAAGTCAGAACCCAAGGGAACAATCAATACTCTCGAAGGGATGTCCGCGTTGGCCCGGCGAACGACCAAACTCCGAGTTGGGAATGTTGGCAGCTTTGCGTGTTAACTTCCTTCCCTTGACTCAATTCTGAGCGCATGCGAGCTCGAATTGTATTTTCGAACCCCGTCCGTGTGTTTCTGGCAGGAGATTCTTTGCTTAGGTGTTTGCCATTTGGGCCATTTTGTACTTTCGAGACAATTAAAGGTTTTGTAGTCGTCAAGTACCAAGCTTCCTCCTGTCAACCTGACGGTATTGTGTTTGGACTGAGGTATGCTCGCCACCAATCAGCACGAACTCAAGACCAAAACCGTGGACTCTATGACAGATCAGGTAGCCAGGTAGACTCTCCTGATGTTGCTCAAGGGTGATGGTATGATCACCATACCTGTGCCTCCTCTAAACACTGTACATCCAAGCGCTCTCAATCACATTTCACTACACTACGAAGAGCAACAAAAGCAACATCTTGACCGGTCACAGCCCCACATACAACCAGATCAACGCGAAGTCAGAGCGGCTGTGCCGGGATCGACACGGGGCACCACTGAGGGATCGAACCCACGGCGTGTGGACCCAGTTGACCATAGATGCTTCAAGTATCTAGCAACTTCTTGCAACTAGTAGCAATGCCCTTGTTACTAGTGCTTCTGGTTCCTAGGAGTAAGGCCAGGAGCCCCTAGTAGCTTCTAGCTACTAGTAGCAATGCCCTTGTTACTGGTAATGCCCTAACTATTAGTAGCTTCTAGCAACAAGCCAAAGGCCCGGCGTGTGAGCTAGTCAATTGCGGCTGAAGTGCAGCTTGGTTAGTCCCTGATGCCTTGGGTATACCTGGAAAATCCGAAACGAAGTGCGATGCTTTGCAAGTCGGCCGCCATGCGCCGGCGACGCCGGACGCCCTTGGGCGCGCTCGCTGGCTGGGCTTTAGGCACGTCTTGCGCAGTGGACCTACGTTGTTGTGGGGAACGTGACACCCAAAGGTGAACCTATGTACCGAATGTAAAGATAGTACCTCAATGCGAGGATGAACAACCGAATCCAGTTGATGAATTTGCACGGTCACTCTCCCTAAAGCATGTTCTTTGCAGTTTCTTGGTGGTGGAGCTCACAATTGCCAAGCTCGCACATGTTCCCACCCAGACCACAAAGACAAGGCCAGAATCCTGTAGGAAGCACTAGAACTGACATCTGACAAATCCTAGCTTAGCATTTTCACCACCCATAGCATCCTGCCAAATCCTTGAGCACCTCAACGACCTTGCACTGGATGTAGAAGTCCTTGCTGCTTCGTGAAGGCATGTTGGATCAGTGTGAAAGAAAGATCTGATTGGTAACGATAATTCACCAATTTGTGTTAGCCGCTGGTGGTGAACTTTGTCCAAAGGAAAGACAAGATTTCACAGATTCTTTATATGCTGGGGTTCCTGTTGGTGTTGCCTCCCCACTCCGCACGTTGTGCCGTTTCTTCCAGATGGCCAGGCGCCCGACGCGATCACTCCTTCATGGATACAAATTCCCCAGCTGAGGCGAGTGAATTCAGGGCAAGGTCGGGTTTCATATATCTTGGGGAACGATTAGTCACATGATGTCAAAGCCCCACTTGGAAGGATCAACTACAAGCGGCTCGCCCCGTTCTGTTTCTATGGAATGCTCCTTCCAGCCGATCCGCAGAAGGCTGGAGCCACGCTGCTCCTAAACTGAGATCTGGCGATGACTCGCTCCTGGTCACAGACACGCCGCCCTGCTTCAGCTGTTTGCCTTCGCGCAGACAGCTGAGGGCCTGCAGGCTCACCTGGACAGACCTGCAGGAGTTCTGGCAGTGGCACGGCCAGCATTCGCGCGCATCTTGCAATGCGGCAACTGCAGCGGCAGAGCGCCGGCAGTGGAACGCAAGCAACATGGAAGAAGCCTGGAGGGTGGTTGTAGCCGTCGCGCGGCAGTCCCTCTAGGACTCTAGGAAAAACGTCTTTCTCTGGAGGAGCTTGCAATGGATAGCTTTGCCTTCATCTGCAGGGTTAATCCAGCCACCAGCTTGGGCGTGGCAAAGGCACTTCCACGACCTGTTGGTTGAGGGCAAGGAGACGGGAGACGGAGAGTGCAATGCACAGCTTCGTCGGCATGGAGCGCTGGGCGCTCAGAGGTGGCCTCCCTTTTGGCTTTTGCATCGTGGCAACAGAGGCCCATCAGATTCGAGACTGTTGGCCTGCCTCATTCGCACGCGGCTGTGGCACAGCGACCACTTCTGCCCATCTCCGCCAGCCCAATTAACTGGCAGGAGCCGTTGAAGTGGAGATTTCGCGGCAGGCGCAGCAAATGTGCTCTCATATGTGTGCTCTCATGTGAGCGCGTGCTCTTCCAACGGTGCTCCCATGTGCGTGATGTCATGTGGGTGTTGTCTCATAGCCTATAGCTCATTCATATGTGTCCTCTTGACACGCCCAGGCCACCAGATCTCTAGACATCTCTCCACCTCCAGACCTCTACAACTCCAGGCCTAGACTTTGAGACCCGCAGATTCGATATTTAGAACTCTAGACCTCTAGGTCTCTACCTCTGGATCTCAAGACCCCTCGACCCTTCAAATTCTCGCCTCTAGACCTTGAGACCTCTCGTTTTCTAATGACCTCTAAGCCCCTAGATCTACTAGACCATCCAGATCTTTCTGGATCTCAAGACGGGCCCCTGTCTGGATCTCAAGACCTCTAGACTTTTAGATCTCCCGAACTCAAACTGTCTCTAGACAAAGACCTCTAGATCTGCAAGACGTCAACTCTTAAATCTCTATAGGAACTTGGAGGCTTCATATTTCTTGATCTCAAGATCTCACGAGCTTTAGGCCTCTAGATCTCCAGATCTAGACCTCTGGATCTCTCCTTTGCATTTGGCCTCAATCTCGGCCTTTAAGTCTTTCTGGACCTCTAGACCCCTAGAGATCCCAGACCTCGAAGACCACTAGACCTCACTTGAGGCTGGCCACTCTGAGTCTCAAGACCTCTACACACCTTGATCTGTAGACCTGTTGACCTCTAGTCCACTACACTTTGGACCTCTAGCAGTCTAGATTTCTCTGCAACCAAATTCCCCTATAGATCTCTAGACCTTCTGCTTCCAACCCCTCTAGACCTTCTGCTTCCAACCCCTCAAGACACAGTATAAGGGTTCGCCTCAGCGCTTGATAGGTTCAATGCTGCGAGAGCATATGGATCTGGCAAAGCTATTTTTGGTGAATTTAGGTGTTCACATGTGGCAGCGTTCGTCGTTTTTACCACGGCGAAAAGAAAATGGACGGAAAACAGAAAAGAAGAAGAAGAAGGAACTAGAATCTCCTTCAACTTCTGTGAATTTGTCGCATGGTGTTTTTCAATTTCAAGAAAACCAATAAGTGAAGTGCACGAGAAAGCAGATAAGGCCATATTGACCACATCTAAGTGACATATAGGTTGGTTTCTCCCACAGTCCCCCTGTCTATTCCCGCCCGTTTGGGTTGCCCAGTAACATGTATAGCTATATATTCGGGTCGCTTCGCGACAACAACCGCCCGCACCAGTGGCTGTCAGAGAGAAGGTGAAAGAAGTCTCTATAATCACTCTTTGGACCCTTTGCCAAATAGTTTTGTCCTGTCTTATTTGCAAATTGCAAACATTGTTGGGTCTATTTTCCGACCCCTTCGAAATTGTTCATTTTCAACGGTGTTGAAAATCAGAGCGCTTCTGCGCAATGTACTTTAAAAGGTGCGTGACCAAAGCAATACGCAGAGATGAATGCAGCATGAAGTGGATGAATATGAAGAGAAGCCATCATTCCATATCAGGACCTCCGACACATTTTCAGATTCTGTTTATTGGAGCAACTTCCGAACGAAAGTTACATGAGCTAATTCTGCGGGTGTGTTTGCTAAAGCAAGATCCCAGCGAAAGCTATACGAGCTATATTTTGCAGGTGTGTTTACTGAAGCAAGACCCCAGTGAAAGTAATTGGCATGTGTTTTTTGCTGAAGCAAGATCCCAGCACCAGAGCAATTCTAATTCTACTGCGGTACTAGCAAGTGCAGTGGTACTACCTCCATAGCAGCAGCTCCAGAAAACCACACCGCAAGCTGCAAATGTACTTGTGGCATACCTACAAACGCAGCTGTATAAGTCTCAAATATGTGAATGCAGATCTGCAACATAAACCCTTTCTACAGAAGAGCCCTTCGTAATGCTCCCCGGAGAAGATGAAATAGGGGGTAGGGTGAACGAACTAGGGGGCAGGGTGGACTCAAGAGATCTTGTGACCCTTCACTTGGTGGCTGTTTTAACGCAGGATTTGCCAGAAAAGATACCAGAAGATGTGCCAAACAGAATACCAGAAAGGATTGCCGTCATAAGAAAGGCCGGGTAGAATCCAAAAGATACGCCGGAGAGACTGTCACAGTCTTTCCTTTAAAAAGAATGCTCGACATTTATCGGAAAGGATATCAGAATATCTGCAAAATAGAAAGCCAGAAATGTCAGTATAATTGACATATCGTTTGCCAATGGTTGCCATATCATATGTCAGAAGCAGTCAGAACATATGTCGGAACAAGTGGCACGCTTGATGTTCTACCAATTGTCGGAATACCTGCCAGAACACATTGGCACACATATCAGAACCGAAGACATATATCACAACACATGTCAGAAGATTTGTCAAAAGACATGTGATTTTGATTGTGAATGGACATGATGACGTGCAAAAACAGGACCTTCATCCGTTTGATTTTGAAACAAATCTTTGGCAGGTTCACTAGGCTCTGGGTCTGATTCGGTGGCAGCGAACATAGACCAAAACTTCTTGTCCCTTTTGCTGCGCCCCCGAACCCACATGGACAGGGGGGACATCTCAACCATCGCCAACTCTTCCGGAGCAATTTCAATTTCATCTTTGAAGGCGAGTTGGATTCAATGATGAATCTTTGTTTATTGCAAGTTGTCTGCCTTCGCGCAGACAGCTGAGGGCCATGCTCACGTGGACAGACCTGCAGGAGTTCTGGCAGTGGCACGGCCAGCATTCGCGCGCATCTTGCAATGCGGCTACTGCAGCGGCAGAGCGCTGGCCAACATTTATGCACAGATTCGTTTCTACGTGCATTTCTCAGCGTTTGCATGGGAAAAACCTTCAAGCTTCAATGCTGGCCCAAGCTTGACGTGGCAGGAGCACTACCATGACGCCTACTTGTCTTCAGAGGTAGAAGGCTGCAAGGGCATGGAGAGCTGGGCGCTGCATCGCCATGTCTTTTCTTTCAGACTTGGTGACATGTGTCTGGCGAACTCGGCTCCCCCCATTGCAGGAGTTCTGGCAGTGGCGTGGCCAGCATTCCCGCGCATCTCGCAATGCGGCAACTGCAGCGGCAGAGCGCCGGCAGTGGAACGCAAGCGAAATGGAAGAAGCCTGGAGCCTGTTCTCATCGGGAGACACAGGCCAATCAGATTCGAGATTGTTGTCCGTTTCAGTCGGAAAGGGGGCACTGTGGCACCGCTGTTCATTCATACTTCTTGGCCGAAGAGTATCGGATGGCATCTTTGCTCAGGCCTGAAACCTAACCTTTTTCCCCAAACAATGTGTCCTAGGCTCGCGTGGTAGTAGTTAAGGCCGGGTGTCTGATCGGAGGTGCTCATCGGCGTGTCCGGCAAACGTGCTGCTACTTACAGTACATTCATTCAAACTCGAGATCTTCGAAGTGCATTTCGATTGCGCAGGCTCGCCGAATCTGGTGGGTGTGAGCGTGCTCTTCGAGACTGCGCTCTCATTTTGGTGACTTTTGGACTTGGTGATCACTTTTGTGGCATGCGCAAGGGAAACCTCATTTTTTCACTTATCTTGAATCCCCGACTTTCAGGTAGAGGCTAAGAAGCACAAAAACATTACAACGACAAAAGACATGAAAAATACAACCTTGAAATAATTTTTTTGCATGGTTCTACGTCCTAACGGGCCCTAATTCCCAAACAACATACTCAAATGAGGGCCACAATGCAAATAGCACCCACTAAGCCAATTGAATGTTGAGCCACGTTGTCCTTTTGTGTTGTCAAGAAGCATTTTCGCGAATTCACTGTCTTTTTGCATTCTGGCAAATTAAAGCAAAGGCAGCCGGGCTGCAAAAACAGCGAGCGTCGACGCGTCAACAAAACGAAAAATCGCAAAATTTGGTTTCGCAACCCGTTTCGGCAAATTTGGTATTTGCAGGTCGCATCTTTTGCATCGTATTGTTTGTATTTTTGCGGGTCGTATTTGTTGTATTTTTGTATATTTTTGTTCTTTTTGTTTCTAGTGTTTTGAAGTATGTAAATTCAGGTTTGCATTTTTAGTATTTTTGAAAATACAGAAAAGTTTTTCCTCCAAACAGTGTGGACACACTGAGCGGTTCTTACGGTAGCAGTCAAGCAGCTGCGCTTAGATCGCTGTGCCGCACGGGCGTGTCCGGCTAATTCGCTGCTGTACACTCATGCCAATCGAAATCCTCAAAGTGCTTTTCGACTGCACATCCTCGCACAAGGGGGGCCCGCGGCGGGTGCTTGTCGCGACTGCGCTCTCGTTGTGGCGCCGCGCGCATTTTCGTGCATGGCGGTCACTTTTCGTGGCAGGCGCAAGGGATCGGAGCGCTTTTACTTCGAAGTGCAGATTTCGTGGCAGGTGCAGTACTTTGGACATGGTCGTGATCTTCGAGCCGCTCTGGCCGAGTGAATCGTGACTTTTGGTCGTTTGCAGATTTCGTGCACGCGCAGCACTTTGTGAGCCTCGATGTGTAGATTTCGTGGCAGGTGTAGCACTTTGTGAACCTCGAAGGGCAGATCTCGTGGCAAGCAGAGCGCCGGGTGAACCTTGAAGTGCAGATTTCGTGGCAGGCGCAGCACTTTGTGAACCTCGAAGTGCAGATGTCGTGGCAGGCGCAGCGCTTTGTGAACCTCGAAGTGCAGATTTCGCGGCAGGCGCAGCACTTTGTGCTCTCAGATGCTCACCTCTCAGTCTCACTCACACTCACAAACACACACATTCACTCTCACTCACACTCTCTCTATCACTGTCTCTCACTCACATTCACACTCACACTCACATTCACACTCACACTCACATTCACACTCACACTCACACTCACACTCACACTCACTCATACTCACACTCACTCTCACTCTCACTCACTCACACTCACACTCACTCACTCACTCACACTCACACTCACTCTCACACTCACACTCACATTCACACTCACACTCACACTCACACTCACTCACTCACACTCACACTCACACTCACACTCACACTCACACTCACACTCACACTCACTCATACTCACACTCACTCTCACTCTCACTCACACGCACTCTCACTCCCACTCTCACTCTCACTCACTCACTCACTCTCTCACTCTCTCACACTCTCACACTCTCACGCTCTCACTCTCTCACTCTCTGACTCACTCACTCACTCACTCACTCACTCTCTCACTCTCACTCTCACTCTCACTCTCACACTCACACTCACATTCACACTCACACTCACACTCACATTCACACTCACTCACTCACTCACAGTCACAGTCACAGTCACAGTCACACTCACACCCACACTCACACTCACACTCACACTCACTCATACTCACACTCACTCTCACTCTCACTCACACGCACTCTCACTCCCATTCTCACTCTCACTCTCACTCACTCACTCACTCTCTCACACTCTCACTCTCTCACTCTCTGACTCTCACTCACTCACTCACTCACTCTCTCTCACTCTCACTCTCACACTCACACTCACACTCACACACACTCTCACTCCCTCACTCACTCACTCACTCACTCACTCTCTCACTCTCTCACTCTCACTCTCACTCTCACACTCACACACTCACTCACTCACTCTCTCTCTCTCTCACACTCTCACTCTCACTCACAGTCACAGTCACAGTCACAGTCACACCCACCACCACCGCCACCATCACCATCACCACCATCACCTCTCTGGACCCCAATGCGTCTAGATATCTAGACTTTCTGCTTATAGACCTCACACACACTGCTTTATGAAAAGACAAAAAAGGGTCGTGTTTGTCGTATTTTTGAAATACAAATTTTCAGCCTCGAACTGCGAACCGGCGAAACCCACCGGCAACTTTGTTTGACAACCAGCAAAACGTGGTCAGGCTACCCGACAACCACGGAAAGGCGAGGGGACGAAGGGCAGGAGGGTAGGAGAGCGAGTGCTCAGACAAGATTTTTGCTCCGGCAAAAGCTGTGGTTCGAGATGCTGATGCATTGGATGTCGACGATATTACCAACAGGTGATTCTCGAGGTATGAGGACGCAAGTTCCAGACAACGCAGGGAGCCCGTACCAGTTCTGAGTTGCCGTTCAGATCCGAGGTACGACATGGTGGTCTGGATGACAGTATATATATGTCTAGTAGTTTCGTCAACCTTGGAGGAGGGTGTGTTTCTTTCGCACCTTCGCCTCACGCCCAATCCTGACAGGCGCAGCTCGGGTGTGTCTGGGCAGAGCCTCCGGGCTGGTGGAGGCGGCTCCGGGTGGCAGAGATAGCTTTTATTGCTCAGCAAAGCCGGGGATTGAAGGTGATCTCGGGTGTAGAGACCCACGACGATGTTACACGAACAGATTTTCCTTGCCTAAGTTTCCGGGAAGATTGATACTGTTAAACTACAGCATACTCGGCGTGGTAAATGGGAATCTACGGGACGGAAGCCCTACTTTTGGGGGTATTGCTGGGCGGCGTCTTGCTCGGAGAGGCTGACCTTGCCACTTTTCAATTTTGATTGACTAGCCTCTGTTGTCGTGGCTACTGCTGTTCTGCATCTATCACCGAAGAAAGCCGGCTCCATGTGTCTATCGCGGGCTACCTCCAAGAAAGCTTCGTAACCTTTCCCCACCAACACGTCTCCGTCACGTGCGTGTTCCTCCAATGAACCAACAACAAAGCCAAATGCTGACAGTAGTGGGGACAGCAGTGCAAGTCCAGGGCCTTGGGCAACCATATCCACCACAGCAGTGAAGGTTGTCCCACCAAGAAGAAATGGAGCAACTTAGTGCACATGGCTGAGAGAACTATGTACACACATGCATGCATACATACATACATACATACATACATGCATACATACATACATACATACACAAATACAAATACATATACATATGCATATGCATGCACATGTACATATACATATGTTTTTTCATCTGTATCTATATATACAATACAACTGACCGAGCCTTCAGCTTCTCGATGAGACCATTGCCGCAGGCGGAAAGAGTCCCATGCGTTTTTGTCCTGGCTTTCGTTCCCCCTTCTCAGGTATAATTTCATGTATGTTTAAGCGTTTTGTCCACTAGGGTGGTTGAAAAGGGGTCAGCGTCGGTAAGCATTCCGCTGGTTTCTGGGGTGATTTGGATAGAGGGTCAATATGTGTTTAACCCTTTTTGCCTCCAGGCACGCAAATATGACAACAGACTGTGTACACAAAAGTGCTGTGAGTGATTCACCATCCCTCGCATGGTTTTAGCGAGACTGTTTGGCTGCAAGTGGCCACGCGGGAGGAGAATACCATGCCACCGATGCCATGCCTTCGCCACCTGGATGGAACACGGAACGGTGGAACTCTCCGGAGTGGAGTTGTGGGGGTTCCATGTATGTGTGTGTCATAAAGACTTGGTGTGTGGTGTATCATATGATGACGTCATGATTGATCATTATAATTGCTGACCTCAATTTTTAGCCAAGATATACCCTGCTGCATCAACAAGGCTCGAAGGCCCAGTCCCCATCAGTCCCAGGAGCATCCAATCTGAGAATGGCAATTGTTTTTTGTTTTTCTGTGCCCATTGGTGTTGATCGCCCCCTTTTGCTGTTGGCGGCGACCTTCCAACAGTTCAGTGCCCAACATGTTTGGCCGCTGCAACGTGCCAAGCCAACAGCCGCTGCCTAGGACGACGCAAAGCCAGGAGCGAACGGCGAGCGACTCTCAAACCGGATCGTGGGAGATTGGCGCGTCCGTCGGAGTCAGCGACTCTCCGACCAGTGTGGCGAGACCGTCATGAGACCGGCCCGTCGAAGTTTGGCAGTTTCGCTAAGATCGCTCTCTTGAAGTAAAGGTTGGAAAAAATGATCATTGGATCATTTCATTCAATCGACTTACAACACCTACAACTCAATGTTGCGAACTCATTGCTTGGTTGGTGGAACAGGCTGGCCACCAGTCACATTGTGAACCCTGGGTACACCCTGGCTGCAGATTACACAGGAGAAAACTGTTTGTTTACATAACGTTTGTTACATGATTGCATGACGAGTTTTGTCGGATCTCATTCCCTTGTCCCATTTAGGTGTGAGATATGACAA